TTTTTTTTTTTTTTTTTTTTTGTGTCAACACAATCGGCATCATCTCTTCCTTCCAGATGCCAAGTTCTTGAGAAAGACTTAACCACCAATTAGCAAAGATTAGGGTGTTTGCAGTGTGGTTTGGATCAGATTTTAATATTTTTTAAATCAATCCAATTTAATCAGTTAATAAAATTTATAAACCAATCCAATCTATTATTACATGATAACCAAATTAATCTAATTTAAATTGAATAGGTATAGTTTGGTTGAATTGATCGATTTTTAACATTATCAAATACATGAGATAATGTAAAAATATTTTAATATCAAATAGAAAACATAACTATAAAACACATTAACATTCAAATTAATAAAAACATAATAAAAAGTACATATTATAAACAAGTTCTTATATTCTTTTACATTTGTAAAAAAATTGAAAAGATTTGAAAATTCTTCTTGGTTATATCACTAGAGGCACCAAAAACAATAAAAGATGATTTCAAGTTTCTAGCATAGGATAAATAATTCTTAAAGGTTAAAATTAGTTTTTTTTAATGCATTAGGAATTTAATTACATCTTCTAAATCCTATTAAAAATAAATAAAATTTAACATGAATATCACTGAAATTGATTAGAAGCATTCATAATTAAAATTTAAAATTTCTAAACCAAATATTCAAGAATAGTAGAATATCAAAACTAGTTTTATTATATAATTTTAAGATTTTTAAAATGATACTTCTTTAAAACTTAGTTAGAAGAATCATAATATTATTTTATGAACAGATTAGAAATTTAGGATTCTAAGAGTAAATATGCAAATCATTTTTGAGGGGATAAAGTTACTGGTGAATTAAAAGTTTAGAATTAGAGTTAAGATTTGTGATTAAAATGAAAAAATAACTTAAGGAATATAGAAATGTTCTATTTTTATTTTTTAATTAAGTTAATAGCATTATTATCTTGTAAATAAGAAAAAGAAATTTTAAAATACTAAAAAAATATATTATATTATTTAATTAAGTTATTTTATAATCGGATTTTATTTTATAATCGGGGAATTCATATGGTTTGAAAGTAAAATCACAAACTAAATCAATTATATCGATTTTAAAATTTTAAAATTCAAACTAACTTAATTTTATATTGATTTTAATCAATTTTTAATTGGATTGAATCAGTTTAGATCATATTAATCAAATTAGATTAAATATATCAATCGAATTTTGATTAGATATGAACAACCCTAGCAAAGACTAACGCTGAAGAAGAAATTGATAAATAATTAGTCCTTCCGTTGTGTGTGGGGTTCTTTATTACTATTATTTTTTAACGAAATTTTTATTTTTCCTTTGAATGGAAAATAGTTGCGGCGCTTTTGTTTTAATTTTTGTTATGTAATGACTTCTAATCAATCCTTCTCGTCAATCCTTATTATTAACAGTGCTTTCAATGTAGATTAAATGGGCTTGGCTGGCTCAAAAGGACATGAATCTGGATGTTTTATTGTGCTTTGCTTTCGCAAAAATAACTGCCTGAAACTTCTTTGCTTCTAGTAACCGCTGCAAACCTCTCCCAAGAATAATCTTGCCGAGCATTCCTCAGTCCACATTGCCCCAATCTCTCCATTTTGGCTTTTACCCCTTCATCAGCACCATCACTGACTCTCCTTCTATGACATGCACAGCTATTATGTGATGTTTAATAAAGAGTTTTATCATCTTCAAAGTCACTTGGTTGACCACCATTTATTTTTGCATTAGTATATGTTTTGATAGTTTTAGCTTCATTTTTTCTGTATGTATTAAAGTTTCCACAATAAGAGCATACTTTATAAAGACAGTTAATTACTGGTGAAAAAAAAAATGATTACTGCCCAACTTCATTAACTTATATCATAAGAAAAGTTTCGTAGTAGGTGAGTATTATTGTATGCCCTTTTAGCCTTGCAACATATCATTCTAATCACTGGCTACTTTTTAGGTTTGAATTTTCGAACTTTGAAGGCAATGGCCAATTTGGAATTTGGATTTGACTTGGTGGGGAGGCAAGCCTCTCACGTCTTTTGCAATGCAGAATTCTAAGATTCTTCTTAGCTCTTACTTAGTAAAGAGAATAGAACTAGAGATAATTTTAAAGGGATCAAATGAACTTATTTTACTTGATAAAAAGAAATTAAATTATTTAAAATCAAGTATAAAGTATTAGAATGGTTGATAACATGTAACTCAGCAATTTGATTGATGGCACTGCCTTTGTGCTTTCACGTTTCTAATCATGTTTTTTTTCTTTTTCTTTTTCTTTTTTTTTTCCTATTTGCTAAATATGCTTTTTGTTTTTTTCAAAGAAATAGTGTCCTCCAGCTTTCCACGTGTTACACTTACCATCATGCATTTGCTTATGACATGTATGTTATCCAAGTTGTCTTGAAACAATCAAAGGTTAGTGAGTTCTTCTTCTTTTGGCATCAAGTGATTTATGTTAATTAAAAAATCAAGTTATTTCATTGCTTCTAAAATTAGAGGTGCTTGACTAAGAATTTGATTGAAAGTATTTGAATTCTTTTATGGTCAAAAAATATTTAAAAACCATTTTTAAGCATATAAAGAGCAGTATAATCTCTTATTTAGTTTTGTCCATTCAATTGGGAAATTCAACACTTTTTTTTATGTATTTTATTAAAGAATTTATCTAACATATGTTTTAAAAATATAAATTAAATGTATAATAAATATAATTTTATAATAAATTTATGTTAAAAATAAAAATTAATTTTTAATTTATTAATTATTTAATTAAATTTATTCATTTACTTAATATTAAAATTAATATATATGAAAAACCCTTTGTTTAAAAATCACTCACGGTCTCTAGTCAACGGGCGCCAACAGTATAGTGTCTCAATGTTCGGAAAGAAGGCATTAATTATGAGGAAATGTGTAGCTACAATGACTTGACTGCCCCGATTAGCAAGTTGTGGAATAGCTTACATGACTTTGAATTAGATATTTGCACGGAGTTGTGTGGTGAGCGAAGTTTACAATTAAAGGAAAGAAAAAGAAAATCTACAAACTTATCATTCTAATGCTTTGTGCTTTCTATTTTGTTTCTTCATAAATCATTTAACTAGTCTTGCTGCTCAATTTTATAGTTTTAGAGCAATAAATCATAAGAGAGATGGTAGTTGCGAGGCGACGGTATACTGTCTACTTTCTTGCTACCTTTCTAGCTCTGTTAAAAGCATCATTGCTTCTAGCAAATGGTAAAGCTTTTGCTTATCCATCAATTGCGAAGCCTCTAGGCACCTGGATTAACAACAACTCAGACTCTAATTGGGACACAGAAGAGTTGACACTGAAACCTATCTTGGTCAATGGGGATTTTGTTTGTGGCTTCCACTGCAAATTAGAAGAAAACAACAATTGCCTCTTTGCTATCTCCATCTTCCACTTTGTTTCCAACAGCTATACAAATTTAAAAATGGTATGGTCTGCTAATCGAAACAATCATGTTGGAGGTGGGGCAAAATTGCTACTTTCCCAGCAAGGGGATCTAACACTGCAAGATGTTGATAGCACTCTGGTTTGGTCTACTAAAACAGCAGGTAAATTTGTTTCTGGATTGAAGTTAACTGATCAAGGTAACCTTCTGTTATTTGATGGAAACAATGAGATTATTTGGCAGTCTTTTGATCATCCAACAGACTGTTTAGTTCTCGGACAAAGTCTAGTTTCTGGGCAGAAATTGAAGTCAAATTTCTCAACCACAGAATGGAGTGAGGGTTTATATTCATTGTTAATTGATAATCGTGGTCTTTTTGTTGCTTCTGTGGAGTCAGATGCTAGCCTAGTCTATTGCCTTTCCCCTTGTTCGCCATTGAAAAGCACAACAGGGCAGTTTTATGCTGAATTCACTAACACAAGTCTTGGTGATGGCCTTTATCCAGGATTGGGCGTTAGTTTTATACAATTAGGTTCTGATGGGCACTTAAGGTCCTTTAGGTGGGTAGAATCAGAATGGAAGGAAGTCTATGATTTGCTTGAGGACCAAGTCCGCCAATGTGATTACCCACTGGCGTGTGGAGAATATGGAATTTGTTCTGCAAGTGGATGCAATTGCCCAGAACCAGATGAAAACGAAACAACGCACTTCAAGCTAATAAATCCTGATCAGCCAAGTCTTGGGTGTTCTCCATATGTACCAATATCTTGTAAATCTCATCTTCTTGAGATCAATAATGTTTCTTCCTTCACTATCTTTTGGCTGGATAATTGCTATATAACAGACATAGAGAGCTGCAAGCAAGCTTGTTTAAAGAACTGCTCCTGCCTGTACGCTGTTTTTCAGCCTTCTTTTGCTAGTTACTCAGATCC